GAGGTCGAGGTCGATACCCAGAAGCTGAGGCAGGGTCAGGTGCAAAGGAGAATGGAGTTTCAAAGTACGTCTTACCAGGCACAACCACAGATTGCTCGAGTGCAGAGCTGACAAGTCAAATCAAAGAGCGTAATGAGTCTACGAGCTTCATGTTGGGGAATAAAAATGACTTTGAATAGGTTGTTCTACAAAGAAAACATTTCATGAAATCAAGGATGCCATAATCTTGTGATCTTTATGTGGGTCATCAAGGATCAATGACCTGCTCCTTTCGCACTAATGCTTAGACTTATACTACAGATATAGCAAGTACCCTTCCATGTTAAGAGTGTTACTACCAAATAAATGTAAATGGAAGTAGCAGTTGGTTTTTGGATGAAGACATATTGTGTTCCTGCACTCCTGCTCCAGCAGTGTTCTCTCTTTCTAGATTCCCCTCATCCTATTTAAAAGCATTCTTACACATTTCTGATCTTACCAGCTCATGATAGGAACTCCGCTAACTCAACTAATGCATCGTAATACCAATTAGAACTTTTACCTAAGCTGGATATCAGATAGTGAATAGTATCCCTAGATCAAGGAAGAGACGGTGGACCTCTGGACTGAGCTTCTATCTAATCTAGTTGTAGCTCTTCTGTGAGTACAGGGGATGTTTCCAGTGTCCATACAGGACCATTTTTCAACTTGAGGTGGCAGTGCTGTGATTGGCTGGGAAGGAGGAGGAGGTGGTAGAATAACAGGTGATTTGGGGTGGGACACATGGCATGTTTTGATGGCTAGAGTCGAAAACACATGTTCAGTACACAGCAATGACACAACAATGGAAAAGAAGCCCAGTAGAAACTGGCAGGTGCATGAAGTGGAAAATTGCCGAATTTCAGAAATTAAAAGAATCCTTAAATTAATTCGATCTTAACCTACATCATCATCTTTGCATTTAAAATGTAAAATCTCCCTGCATAGAAACAATGAGTCCACAGAATTCATTTACATACACACATTGACATGAAATTTCTTGATAGAGGCTGACAGAAATTATGGTACAAAGAGGAGCCTCTGGTCAGCAAGTGCCAGCAACTCGACACAGAAAGAATGAAGATATATTGGAAAACAGTGGCCAAAACGAGATCATAAAACCGGTATAATGTCAAAACAAGATCACAAAACCTGTATAATATATATATTCAAATACATATTTGTGTATGATTCCCTCAGGCAAAAAACATGTAAAGAATATAGACATGAGCAGATGAAGAAAAGAACTTAACAGGTTAGCAAGTAATCTGATTAATTCCGCTCAATTTGAATGTAGAAATGAGAAGAGCAGCTCATTCCACATATCGGGTACTCCAGGCAAGCACCAATGGCTACAATCAGGAACCGAAGGATTGTCGCTCCAAGTGCCGACATGTGCATCACTCCGAAATGCACTCATAGGAGTAACGTGCAGCAGTGTTACTGGTATAGATATGTTTCTCACAGTGCCAATTATAGCATCAGATATAGAGTTCTTTTGTCTCCCCCTAACTTTTGACAGGGGTTGTTTCGTAACTTTGCAATTCTGACGAGCTCCACTCCTGAATAAATGCGAGCAACAAAATCCATCATTTTCTATATTGCAACATATTCATTATTCACTCAATAGTTTTAACATAAATTGAAAATTGTGGATGAAAGATAGTACTTATCAAATAATGCAGTTGAGTGTCCATCGAAGCGGCCAAAACTTGTTATTTAAACAGATTTTGGTTAGATGTAGCTTATTACACTCCGTCGGACTAATTACATGGGATATATCCACATGCACTTTGGTTCCAAGTATGACTCAATCTAAACAATGAATTTCAGCAAATAATCAGAACTATAATCACCTCCAGTGAGTGGATTCAAAAGTTCGGAAGAATACACGTGTCCGTTTGGAATTGATCGCACTCTCTGCCCAAGATCTCCAAGTGACTAATGCAGTTTTATAGGCATTATTTATTGACATTCCAAGCTTCATCCTTCCACCAATCTGGAAATAACAGCCCCTGTCTGAAAATGCACATTAGAAGCAGTTCATAGGTACATTTGCGACTAATTGAAACGATAAAATCAAGCATTCAACTTTAAAAACACTGCAAGCTCTATTAAGAATTTAAGAATCCTTTGGGAGGTTGATCGCCATAATTAGATTTTGGCTTGTTGAGTTGGTAAAGTCATCATAGTGAAACAACATGTGCAAGGGATTGACGTTATCTCACCTAAGGTAGTATGACCTCGGAAGTATATTAACATTTCTTATATGTTTCTATAAAATAGATTACAATAATTAGTCATAGCTATGTAATAGTGCCCACAAAGATGAACTAGTGTTACAAAGAACCATGAAAGCCTAAAGTCAACTAACAATTTGTAGTGACAGAACACAAAGTAGTAACATTACAAAAGGCTCTACATTAGGGACTTAATAATGAAAATACGGGGTTAAAAACGTAATAATTCACAACTTTTATGCTTAAGAAGACACACGACTTTGAGATAGGAACTATTGACCCCAAAAAATGTACCTCCAACGTGATCAACTGATCCCAAGGCCTTTCACGTACATGAAAGCCTAATTCTTGCACACTTGGACAAATCGTTAGTCACACATGACCCTTTCAGATGGGGTAGCATTGGCCGTGTGCACTCCAATAGTCAAAGTCAGTTGGAGAAAAAAATATATGAGTGTGGGAGGGCATTAGATGTGAGCCCCCAATGTAAGAAGGGGGTCAGCTTAGGGGAATGATAGATGAAACAGTAAGATGGCAAAGTTATATCTTGAGAGTCTAAACTTGCATTACCTTGAAATAGCACTAAGTGTGACCTTTTATGGTGGAAGAAGAAGAATGGGAGTCGTTGGATGAAGAGGCACATGGCTTCATTCGTGTGGCTGATGCCTCTTTTCGAAGACATCAATCAATCATAAGCATCAAATGCCAATACCATGTTATTATCCAAAATACCTAACTTGTAGCTTTAGACTTGACTTGGTGGGCTCGAAGTGGCAGCGGCAATAGTGAATTGTCACATCAATCACATATCATAGATTGTTTGGGAGATCTTGTTCTAAATTCCCTTTACGGCTCGCCTCCCCCTGTGTCTTGGTTCCTCCTCATGGGGTCAATAGACACATTGGCTCGGCCACCTTAAAGGGATTCCGTCGGAATAGCCTCACGATGCTTTGACGCGGTGTGGGGGCCCCATGATTGCTTGCCATGTAGGACATTTGGGGGGCCTTAGTAAGGTGTAACAGGAACCACTATTTTTACTTATATCACAAACGTTTGTGGACATAATTATCCCAGCAATTTCAACCCAATATTTCTATGTCGTCTAAGCACTTCCCAAAGTATTGGCCAGATGGGAAATAAAAACGAATTAATTTACCGTAACATCTGCTTGTTCTTAAGCCACAAGCAGCCCTTTCCCAACTCATTACTCTGTATCAAAAGGGGGTTCTTGTTTAGGAACAAACTTACTCTTCCTTTCCCTGATACTGAAGACCTTGGCGGATGATAGGGGGTGAGCAGGGCCCTGCACCCCAATTTTAAAAAATTCTGTACTTCTTTCTTGTCAAAATGTGATTTTCAACAAAATATTTAGAAAAATAGAATTTTCAAATCCTCTCCTCTCCCCTCCCCAAAAAATCTCATTTAGCTCCCATAATATGTCAATCTACTGAAGTTGACTCTAAAGCTTTGCTGCTGTGCTAGACTGAGAATAACATTAATCTGATAGAAAGTTTCCTTCATTGCCATTAGAAGTTTACCTTTTAGCCATCACGAGAAAGTGAAAATATAAAGCACTGCAGCTGAATCACAAGTATTATTTACCTCAGGTAACTTCGAATATTCTACCTCATTCCACATTCCTTAACTATTATTGTGAAATTCCTATGGCTCTTCTGATGTGTGCTGAACATCAATAGCAGCATCAACTTTGTCTTTGCAGAAAATACAAAAAAATAAATTTGTACCAACTTAAAATAGTGGCTAGCTTTTATGCATGTTTGCATTGTTTCTTCTTTTTAGTGTTAGATTTGCAGGCTAAACAAGTTGGCAATGCTACTAATTCTTACTTGATGACCATTTGACACTTGACAGGATAAAAGGCTACTTCACTTATTCTACATGTTCACATTGTTTTTATCACTTTTTTTTTTTTTTTCCCTCAATATATTTTGTTTTTTCAGAATCTTTGAATTTTAAATGTGGAAATGTTAAACTTCTGCAAGACTAATGACAAGGTGTCTGAAACATCTCTGCTACGAAACTCTGTAAACGAGCAATGTGTAACGGCCATAAATTGTTCCTTCTTTGAGTAAAATAAGAAGCACATTGGCAGTTGGAGGCACAGGCATGGTAATACAGACATACGGTAACAAATCGAGATTCATCTTATGAATTTAACTCGTATTCAACATCACATTCACAAATTATTTCAAGTACCTAAACCACATAAAGCAATGCACAAAAATGTTACTACTTACATGTCAAAGAGCTTAGTAGTCGTCCACCAATGCCCAGAATTGAAGATGAGAATATCTGAATCGATCCACTCTTTACTTATATCATCCAATTGGTCAAGCTTTAGTACCGACTTAATCCTCTTTGGGGCTCGTCTTGGCACCGGACCAGGCTGAACTAAGAAAACAGACCGGTAAAACTCAACGGTGAAATTGAAGGACCTAAACCGAACACCTAAATACCTAATCTGTTTCGTGATCTGATTTCCATTGATTTCATAGACACTCTTAGGATCCAGACCTGTCATGAGCATACAAATCATAGACTCCCATTGTGTTCGACCCAAGGAATCACCAACAAACACGACCCTCTTCCCTCGAAGCATTTCCCTTATTAAATTCACGTCAAACCTCGGTATATCACAATTTTTGGGACTCCACCTCCAGTTAAGATACCCTTTATCCCTTCTACCATTAGCCAAACAATTAAACCCTCGTTCTGCAAAAGGACATTGTGATGCATTGTATAAAGGGTAATTTTCACCAACTACCCATTTCCCATCAAAAATATTGCAAGAGTTACTCAAAAAATCACTAGATTTATTACTGTAACTATTCACGTTCACATTCCCCATATTCTCAACTACTGGTTCAACAGCTCCACCTCCAGTTAAGATACCCTTTATCCCTTCTACCATTAGCCAAACAATTAAACCCTCGTTCTGCAAAAGGACATTGTGATGCATTGTATAAAGGGTAATTTTCACCAACTACCCATTTCCCATCAAAAATATTGCAAGAGTTACTCAAAAAATCACTAGATTTATTACTGTAACTATTCACGTTCACATTCCCCATATTCTCAACTACTGGTTCAACAGCTGGGAACATGTAAAAATAGCTGGATCCGATCACAACGAAAAAGCAGATTAATGAAACACCCAGCAGCAACGAATTGAACGTTTGAAAAACCCCACTTGTATTGTTATTCACAGAAGAAAATTTGCCCAAATTAAGAAGTTTCATAACAGCAGGCTTCAAATGACCAAAGGAACTCAAATCTAATTTACTTACCATCTTCACGCATCTCAACTATACATACAGAATTGGAACAACACTATTTGTCTTGTTCATAATCAAGAATCAAGAAAGGAACTTCTTTTTTTGTGAAAATGAGCTCGATTAAGTAAAAACGTAGAGAATCTTACAGTTTCTTCAACTGGGTTTTGTAGAAAAGCAAAGATTATGTCATAAATAAGGTCAAAAATTGAGCCTTTATCAGTAATTTAACTAGGAAATACGAATGGTTGTTTTTGAAAGTGAAAGCTGAACTAAATACGTGGAACGCTGTTTGTGGGACTTAGATTCAGGTGCAGCTGAATTATTTCTGTAATATTTATATGCTCTGTCTGGTGAGATTTGCACCTCAATTTTAATATAGAATACTTATTAATTATTTTTCTATAAATCCAAGATCTATATTTTTGGATGCTAAACGAACGCGGATCAGTTTTTAAAATCTTGCGTGATTTTGACTCCAATTTTGAATCGAAACTTGTGTGGTTACAAAACAAAAGAAGAAAACTAGTTTGTTTTAATTGTTTAGTTCTTTAAACAAAATAAAATTTTGTTGTCAAACTCAGAAAAAATATTGTTATTTCAAAATTTCGATGTTTGTTCCGCTAGTGTTATAATGTAAACTTATTGTGTAAGGTGAGTTGAGGAGGACTTTGATCTTAATTCGAAATTAAGTACGATTTCATTGCACCTCTTTTATTAGTTGTGTGTTTGAAAAAATTGATTACTACAAAGGTGATATATTCTCAAACTTGACGAGCTGATATATGGCTAATGGCTCTATTGAACCATTCTGATTAATTATAACTTTTGAGAGTCTTTCTACATTAGTAGATAACCAAACTAAAGGTCGAGTGTTCAATTCTCTCTAAGGTTGGGAAAATGATATGGAGCATCTACGAACATAGGGATGGCCTCTATATGACGTATGTTTGAGGTGAATTTTCGAGCCTAATATGATATAGAGTTTGATTACGTTTCTCTTTTACACCACAAAATATACGTATGGATTATCATTTTTTGCATAAATTTCACTGAGAAAAGCATAGTTCATACATAAATTGAGAAATCCAAATGAGATATCAAAAAGAAAATATGAAAATGCTATTGTAACTTTTAAAAGCAATACTCTTGTCTAAGTCGTTGGACTTCCTGTCATGTACATTCCAAGGGACAGTAAGAAACATATTTCAGCAAGTCTCAAATGCCGATGTAGCTGGGTAAACCTGTGTATCAAACTGAAACAAATGCCCGTAACAATGAAAAAGCGAGATACAGACTTCCACAGCAGAGCTGAAGATTTTTGTAAGAACTTATTTCTATAATAAAGAAGTCTTGTGTAACTGTAGATGTTCAAAGAAAAAATGTAGAGGAGCTATCTTAGAAAAAGAAGGGGAAAGGCAAAGAAATGATCTATAAAGAAGAGAGTGAAGCTGTTTTCATTGGAGGTGGTGGCATAGTCGAAGTTGCATTGTCTGTCCAATTTTTCTCACCCCAGTGCCATAGCATGCTTTCCCAGAAGCAAAAGTTTTCGAAGCAAGTTCCTAATCTTGGATCTTGTATCTTGATCTTCCAATGACCATCTGTATAATTGCCTTTCTCGGCTTGCCTTCGATCCCACTCAAGTGCTGCCTTCTGTTTGGACCTAAGCAAGCAGTATTTATGTAGATTCTCTGGCATTGCATCATGGACCTTCCACCATGTTCGATGTGCAACATCGCTTGCAAATTCCTGTAATATGTCCACATTCCAGTTGCAATCATAGTCCCGAAAGCATAACCATGGTTTCAAACCCAAATAGTGAAGGACATATAAGACTGGAGGATCTGCACCAAAGAGACGTGTTTTCATTTCTTTTTTCTCCTCCTCATCACCAATCCAAAAATGTTTCAAGAAGTTCATATGTTTTGGGATTCGGTGCCACCATGTGAAAATCTCGTTCAAATAACCTTGGTCGCCACCATTGTAAGACTCGATCTCATTGATGTGATCCATCAACAACTGGAATGTGCAATTTGATGGTTCAACCACCATGACACCAGAGTTAAAGAGGGTAGCGTTATTTCCTGTAGCAGAAATTTCTGGCATCTCAAACAGGAAATCGATGTTTCTTAGTATTAACAAATCTGCATCAATGAATATGATTTTGTCATAATCTGTCAATTGCCAGAGACGAAATTTGCTATAATTCCACTCATTGTAGGCATCTCGTTCAGCTTTAGGATTTCTGATTCTCTGAATTACTCGGATTTTCCACCCCGCAGCCTCAAGACCTCCCTTGTGATAGTCACTGATAGTGTCATCAACAAGTATCACGAGATCCCGAGTTGAACCAGCCATTCGTATACTTTGTGCAGCTGCAATCGCTCCACAGACATAAACATGTGCCGAGTGCAGGATTGTTGCATAAGCTTCTCGATGTTCATTCGCAGAGTACCAGTTTTCTGTACGAGAGAAATGGAGTTAGCTATTCACTTTACACAAGCAAGAAACCAGTGCTAGAATTTCAGAGCAATACAGCTTGCTTTTTCAAACACGCTTGGGGACAAAAAGTTAGAAGGAACTTTACTTTTTTTAAGCTTAGCGAAACATGCTCTTTCCTGGGGTGGGGGAGGAAGTACACGCTGCATCAATTGAGATTGATGAAAAGAAAAATAAAATTAGAACTACCTTTGGACAGAAGGGGAACTGCAAGTTCACACGATCCAACTGATAAGCGAAGCTTTTCTCTCAATTTATTAAGATTGGGTTTATACAACCACACATAGCCTTTGCGTACGACTAGATCTTTGCATGTAAAGAGATTTGGAGTCGGGAAACAGTCAGTTATCAGAAGCACGTGAACAGGATGATAACCTTTAACAGTTGCAGCAAGCCTGGCTGCTTCCAGTTGCAAGTGCAAACGGGCCACGTCTCTTGACCAGTCCCCCGACTTATTACAAGGAAGCTTTACCGCTATGAGATCCATCCTAGGTTTACCCGGAACTTGAATTTTGGGCAAGGTAGGACAAGTAGGAACCTCAAATTCTTCTTCCTCATCTATCCATTCAGGATACAGTGTTTCCCAAGTGACATTGCTTGGGGCATGATCCAGGTTCAGAGTAACATGCTCCGCATCCGGTAATAACCCTTCCCATTGATCAATTTCAGCTGCCTTGAAATTTAACAACCCAATTCCCTTGTACTCATGTCTTTCGGTTAGTTTCTCAACTGCTGCATTACGACGAAGATTATCTACCGTTGAGATCTGTCCCCTCACAACTGTCCACAATAGGAATGCCACCCGAGGAGGCAATTTACACTGCCAAACCAACTTCCATGGGAATGAATTATTCACACATCCCATGAGGGAACCAAAGTATGAACGAACCGAAAAAATGCCATCCTGTGCTGTCCTCCACCTGATGCAATCCCTCTCTCCAATCCGAATTTGGGCCTCATGTAAAATGGTCATAAATAGAGAATAATCTTCTAATTCCCAATCCCAAACCTAGATCCTGAATCAGGCAAATGATCTGCATCATGAACTGTAGGAGAATGTAGGAGTGTGTAAAATGCTCCCAATATGATAATAGCCAACACAAGCTTCAAAGTAGGGAATTTGCAGTTTGATATCCTGTCCAGACTAGAACCATGAAATGGCCTTTCCCCATCTTTGAATACTCTACTTCTTAAGGACCTTCTTTTGTTTGCTTCTTCGCTGAACCAAATAACTCAAAATAAGTAAATAAGCTAAAAACAATCTTAAGAGGTGCACATAAGTAAGAATTAATGCTAATTGAAAATTTTGAACATTGTATAATGTATAGCCAAGTTTTAGGATACTGAGCCACCTAATAAAACTGCAAAGAATAGAGAATCTGTAATACACAATTTTTGCATCTCTCCAGAAACTGTCCCTCGCCACTCCAAATCGCCACAACCACTTGCCTAATAAGGCTTTATTGAACAACACAAGGCTCCTCACCCCAAGACCTCCCATCCTCATCGGCAAACAAACAACTCCCCAATTGACCAAATGGAGTCTCCTCTCCTCTCCCAACCTTGCCCACAGAAATTCTCTTTGAAGCCTCTCTAGTCTCTTTGCCACTGCTATCGAAATGGGGAACAATGACAAAAAGTAAGTAGGGAGATTGGAGAGAGTGGATTTAATAAGAATAAGTCTACCACCCTTAAAAAGGTACATACGCTTCCACCCTGCTAACCTTCTCTCCATCCTTTCCACAATACCATTCCAGATATGGGTACTTTTAAATCGTGCCCCTAATGGGAGTCCTAGATATGACATCGGCAACTGCGCAACCTTACAACCCAATATATCAGCCAGCTCCTCGACATTATTAACCTCCCCAACTGGGATAGCCTCAGACTTTCCCAAATTAATTTTCAAATCAAACACCGCTTCAAAACATAAGAGCAGACGGCGCAAGTTTTTGAATTGTTCTACATCTGCATCACATAAGATCAGCGTGTCATCTGCAAATAACAGATGAGACACCTGCAATTGATCAACCATAAAACCCCTTATCAAACCCGCTCTCACTGCTCTTTCAATCATCCTACTGAGAGCCTCCATCACAATGACAAATAACAAAGGGGATAATGGATCCCCTTGTCTCAAGCCTCTACTGCTCCGGAAATAACCCTCTGGTGTTCCGTTGACCAAAACTGAGAATGAAACAGTAGAAATACAGAATTGAATCCATTTACACCATTTATCCCCAAAGCCACAGCGCCTGAGCATATATAACAAGAAACTCCAATTCACATGGTCGTAAGCCTTTTGAATATCTAGTTTACAAAGCATCCCTGGGGCCCTTAGGCGCATTCTTGAATCTATGCATTCATTCGCTATAAGCACGGAGTCCAAAATCTGACGCCCTTTTACAAATGCATTCTGAAACTTGGACACTACTTTTTCCAGTACCTCCTTTAATCTGTTTGCCAGGACTTTCGAAATAATCTTATACACCCCGCTGACAAGGCTAATGGGGCTAAAGTCCTTAATATCAGTCGCTCCCGGTTTCTTAGGGATGAGCACAATAAATGTGGCATTAGAACTTCTCTGGAATCTGCCACGTTCAAAAAAATAAGATAAAGTATTCACAATGTCCAGTCGAACCACATCCCAACACGCTTTGTAGAATGAGAACGAGAAACCGTCAGGTCCCGGGGCCTTATCATCGTTCATGCTGAAAACGACCTCCTTAATTTCATCCTCCCCAAATGGTCTCTCCATCCATCGGGCATCATCCTCATTGATTGTAGAAAAATGCAATCCCTCCAATTCTGGCCTCC